TCAGCCTAGTGATTACCTCAACTTTAACCCCCAAATGTTCATTCTGTGCCCTACAGGTGACACCAGATAATGCCAGCATTCCTCTGCTGTGAAGTTCTCTCCCTCTGAGCCACTCCAGGTTTACCTCTCACAAACTGAAACGCTCCTTAGTCCTGAGACAATCCTGCCCCATTCTCCTCTACGTGTATCAGCGCTGGGCTGCCCCAGGGCACTTCCCACACCGCTTATGGAAGGCCACCCAGTGCCTGGCCCGAAGGGGCGGACACAGCGGGTTCGAGCTCGCGCCCCGTGGCTGAGGGGAGCGGCGGGCCGGGGCCGCCTGCGCCTGGGCGAGAAACGCCCTCTGCGGCAGGGAGCGGCGGCGGCGGCGGGGGCGGCTGCGCAGTGGGGACGCGCCTGCCCCTCCCGTGTCCCTCAGGGAGCGCCCACGTGCCCTCAGAGGCCCTCAGGTACCTTCAGCGACCAGCATGTGTGCTCAGCCACACCCGGCATGCCCGACTCCCCCTCAAATGAGGCCCACGTTCCCTCAGTGACCCCGACATCCCCTGAGGGACTCAACAGACACCCGCCTCTGCTCAGTGACCCCCATGTCACCTCAGTGGAATCCTGAACACCTGCCACCCTCAGTGACCCTCATGGCTCCAGAGTGGCATGCAGGGAATCTTCATGACACCTCAGCAACACACGGGGCATCCGCCTTCCCTCAGTGACGCATGAGGCACTTATGCCAGGAAAATTAGTCCACAAACACCGGAGGTTTATATCCAAAATAAAGACGGAGGAGTCTTGTTACTTTACTTGAATAAAGGGAAAGGCCATGGGGCATTCCCCTGGGGTCTCTCAAATTTTTAGAGGATGCAGCCTCCTTTTTTTCCTAATTTCCCGGCTGCATTTCCCACTCTCTTTACCCATTGGTGGAAGTATTTGAGAGGTACAGGCTTCCCAAATTGCCTAATAAAGACCCCCTTCTAATGTATACCCCACCCCCCCTTTTTCTTATCCTATGGATCTGATGGTTCCACGCATTGCTTCTTCCATCTCTCAGTACCTAGTTGTCATGGAGTTACTTTACCTTTAAGGGAGTTGGAGTTGCTGGGAACTGCCTGGAGTCTTTTCTCCTGACCAATTATCGATCATTGCTGGGAATTGACAGCAGTTTAGGCCATTGAAAAGTGAGATCAACTTGTGAACCCTACCTTAAAGCGTAAAAGCAGAGCTCTCTGGGTTCTCTTTGTTTCCTGGCTGTGAAGGGTGGCAGAGCTCCCGGCTTCCCGTTCCCTGCCCAGGCCATGCGGCCGGGTGGGGATGGGAGCCGGGCCTGCCACGTCTCCCGGCCGGGAGATGCGGGGGGGACGCCTGGGGAAGGTTTTCCTCGGGCCCCGGGCCAGGCCGAGCCGATCTCTGGCTCGGCTGCAGGTTTTGCTGTAACTACATTCACTAGAAACTGCCGAGTGAAGAAAGAGAGAGGCCCTGGACTTGCAGTGGGCTGGAGCAGCGACCACACTCTCTAGAGCAGCTGTGAAGAACTTTCCATCGCAGACGGCTCCAGCTCCGGTTCAGCAGAGATCCCCGAACCATCTACAAAAGCCTGGGCAAGATTTTAACTCTTTCATTACCCAGATGAGACTTGCAGATTAATCTTTTTATCCAGAGAGAGAAAAAGAGAGTGATCAACATGAAAAGAGACTTTATAAACTACCAGTGACAGGAAAGAAAAGAAGCTTCAGGAGAGGTAGAGAATTAAGAAGATGCTTTAATTAAGCTGAAATATCTCTCTGTTAAAACTATGGAGATGGACAATGAAGTCCTGAAAAGAACTCCTTTAATTCATGATACAGGATCTAGAGAGGAATAAAGTGTTCAAAGTGTAAATCTGAGTAAAAAGTAGAGTAATTATGGTATAGTGAAGTGCTGGGAGATTTGAAGCCTTGAGAGGCAATGAGAAAACTGTTTTCTGGTGAAGCTCACAGAAACAGATGAAGAAGACTTTTTTTGCCTTTGAATAACTTATCCTTAAAAATGCTATCTCTAGACTCATGGCCCATACACACTTCAGAGTGATGTGAAAATGGGAGGAGTGAACTCTAATAATAGCAGCTCTGGGCAGCTAACATTAGAGCAATAGAAAACTATAACAAAAATAGTTTTCCTGTGAGAAACTCCATAAATTAACAGGAAGAAACTTCTGTTTGTCTACAAAGACTGGTGAAAAGACTGTAGCAAGAATTGGGACTGTTTTAACCATCAAAGTTCCAAAGTTTTTGTCTCTGTTGTCATGTGAACAAGGGAATAGTGGGTAGATGGGGATGAAAAGGTTTTTCTAGAAGTTTATTCTGGTGTTCTTATTATTGTAGTTTGTCAATAAACTTTCTTTTTTTTCCCTTTTAAGTTCTATGCCTGTTTTGCTCTTGTTCTAATCCATATCTCACAGCAAGAAATAAGTAATTTTCTTAGTTATTGGTTTAAAACCACGACACTAGCTTTACCCGCAGTTTGTAACGAGAAATCTCTCTCATTCCTTTCAACTGGATACCTATTCTGGGAATCTAGTATCAGCTCAGTGACCCACATGTACCCTCAAGATCACTTGGGTTGAAACAGAGAAATTAAGAATCAGCAATCATTTATAAAATTGCCTTGTGTAAAAGAAGGGGCTACAAAACCTGTGTGAAATACTGACTGCTCCCATATTAGCAGGAAGAGAATAAAGACTACTGGATGAGATAAGGAGCTGGAATATGTAAACAGGCTGCAAGCATAAATGTGCCATAGGATGAGGGTGTTCCTTGGATTCTTTTGGACCCCTAAGCCAGAAGAAATGGAAAGACGGGGGTGAAAAGAACTCAAGGGAGCATGCGCAAGAAGACAAAGTGAAAAGTTCAGCTGAAGGAAAATTGCTCACTTCAGCCCCAAAGACCCCCAGAAGACCAGCAGAGTGAGTATTAATTAATACTCAGTGAGGAGGGAAGAAGCCAGCCAGAAAAATGATTTTTCTGAGCGAAGATGCTAAGAGCTTCCCCTGTGCCTAGTAAAAAACCAATAGCTGTCTAGTTCTGCGAGCTGACAACCCATTAAACCATTTAGAAGCTGGCTCTGCCCCTGTGAATTCTACATTTTAAAAGACAGGCAAGCCCAAGAGGGCTCTCTCTTGTTTCCAGCCTTGAAAGTTAACTGGGCTCTGGCTGGGCCTGCCCCACTCCACTGCAGCCTGCGAGGCCTGGAGGGGCCGGGCCAGGACCCAACAGGAGCCAGGCGGGGGATGGGAGGTTGCAGGGGCCCCGCCAGAGCTAAGCCAATTCACAGCTACTAACATCTTACTAACACTAAGCCCTGGCCTCAAAGCCCTGGCCTCAGCCCTGGCCCTGTCTGCTCGTGCTGAGCCAGAGTCCGCTGGGCCCTGGGAGTAGCTGCTGGCCAAGCCAGGCCCGCTCCAGTGCGACCCCCCACAAGCGGCTGCCATCAGTGGGAAGGGGGAGCCATCAGTCTGCAGCTGAAATGAAAAACAGCAGGGGCCAAAGACCAGCCACACAGCCAGAACAGCCATGACCACTGTGGTCAGGTCCCTGAGATCTTAGCACAACCACAACATGGCCTCAAATTCATCACTGTAACTATTTCAACCACTACCCAGCAAAAATCATCATATCCATCTGCAGGCCTGGGTGAGATATTAACTCTTTCACTGCAGAGAGAAGACCTAGAGACCATAATCCTCTCTCAAGAGAGAAAAAAATATAAAGACACGTATAAGATAACATAAAAGTTAATAAAAAAAAGATCAAGTTCCAAATAAAAGAACCATGAGGAGATGCCCTAATATGCCACTGCCATCTGCTGCAAGTATTTCCACCGAGGCTCCCTTCTAGAAATGTCCCTGCAGCACATCAGCATCAGCTCTAGGTTTGGTTGCATCAGTGAGGCAACTCAAGCATTACCTCAAGCAAACAATCTCCATTCTCAGGCAACATTTTGCTTTGGGTTATCGTTGCAGCTCTTTTGGCTGTGTAGATGGCCCTAATAACAGGAAACAAGCACCTCAGAACTGGTATTATTTTTCCAGCAATGAAGGAAAGAAACTCAAACCAAACAAAGTTTCTGAAATAGTGGTTTTGAGGGAAGTGCACCCCCATTCTTCTCACTTCTTGCCTGTAACCTGGAGAGGATGGTTTAAAGGCACAGAGTCCCTGCTGCTTCTTGTGCCGTGCTGCTGAAACACTTAGTGACCATATTTGTTCATAAGCCAAGCCACTTTCTCCATATCAGCAAGCTGGAGCCTGGTGATGGGGAGAGCCTGCCAAAACCTCCAGTTTGTTTCCTGCCACTTTCTGGGATGGGCCCAACAGTATTTGAGTACTCAAATGCTCATTGACTTGAGTATCCAACGAGTAGAGGGTTAGCAAAGGGATGACACTTCTCTTTCTTCAGATTTCACCAGGAATATTTTCCTTTTACATCATAAGGAAATCTGAAATTTTCAGACTGCAGAGAGACAAATCTGCAGGTGGCTCTTGTGTGCCCAAAAAGGCATTTTTATCCCATACATCTGTGGAGGCATCTTAATGTATCTCTGTTGAATATAGCATGCCAAATATTTCTTTCCTTCCCTGAAGAGCACCTGGGGGATTTCCTTTCTTTTCTTCCAAATACCAATGTTTTCAACAACAGGACAAAAAGCTTGATGAGTTTTGGTTTATGGCAGCTGTGCTTAAGGGACAAACACGCCTTGCAGAGATCCTCATGTAATAATTCTTGGAAACAGTAGAGTTAGAATAGCAAAATCCCTCTTCCAAGAAGCCTGTCAAGCTGGTGTGAATCCTCAGAGAAGGAAACATGCATTTGCATGTCTTTATTTTCCCACTAACTAGATCAGTCCATGAAATCAGCTGCCAAAGCCAGACCTGCTGGATGTTGGAAAAGCTGGGGCTGCTTTGGGGCTTGTGTTTTTTGATGATACAGGGAAGTCATCTCTGCCTCTCTGCCAGGGCAAAAACTACCACTGCAGAGTGGAGCTGAAACAATGGGCTCTGGGAGAGCAGTTGCAGATGGGAAAGGAGCAGGTGGAGCCTCTTGTTTCCTTTTTGCTCCAGGTTCAACTCCTGATAGCCAAAGGAGGGACCCCACAGCTGCGGCAGCCCAAACTCCTCTCAGCTTTGCTGCGTGACTTCCTGAGCTGCTGCCTGCAGACAGACGAGGCACAGTGCTGGTCTGCTGAGGAGCTCCTGCAGGTAAAATGCCAAGGGGCTGCAGGTGAAACAGTGGCTGAGGCATGGTGGCTCCTTCTCCACTGAATTCCAGGGCATCAGATGTGCCCCCCTCCTCCTCCCTTCCAATCTTGGTGCTGTTCAAGTGAGAATGGTGAGGAATCCTAGACTGGGCAGGGCTGGTAGGGACCTGTAAAGCTCATGTGGTCCGAGTGCCCTGCAGAGAGCAGGGACATCCTTAAAGAGAACAGGATACTCAGACCTGAGCTATTTCCAGGGGTGGGGCACCTACCAGCTCTTGGGCCAACCTATGCCACTGCTGCCCTATTCTCCTTAGACCTACTCTGACTCAATCACCCTTGCATTTAAAAAATATTCCCCTGCCTTTGAAGCTCTTAGCTTGGAAAATCATGTTTTCTTCTTGTTTTCTTTTCCTTTCTACAGCATCAATTTGTAACATTGGCCAAGCCTGGCTCCAGCCTAGTGCCACTCATCCTTTCAGTGAAACAGTGGAAGGAGAGAAGGATAATGTTCTAATCAATTTAGAACAGTTTTCGCCGTGGCAATCTTAGAATAGAATTGTAGAGTAGGAATTTAGAGAAGGATTGTAGAGTAGGAGTGTAGAGTAGGATTGTAGAGTAGGAATGTAGATAAGGATTGTAGAGCAGGATTATAGAGTAGGATTTTAAATCAATAAAGATTATGACACCTCAACTCCTTTGGATGATTCCCTCCCTTCTGACCCTTTGAGAAAGCTCAACATTTCCTTCTGAACTGCCAGTTTTTCCTTAGAGGTGAAAAGTGACATTGATGGCTTCTTTGGTATGATTTGTAAGTGGGGAAGGCTCTTCTTCATGCATCCACTCCAGATCACACTGCCTTTGGAATATGGCCCAGTGGCCAAATTTTGCCCAGCTGTGGCATTTCCAGTTGAGGCAGAAACAGCAATGGCATTTGCAGGAAAAACCAAAGGAGGAGTGGTGCAATGCAAACATCCCGTGCAGATGCAGGCTGTGCAGATGTGACTTTAGAGTATTTGGGTTCCTGTCACTTGGATTTGTGTCTCAAATGCAATCTCTTTGGCTGGAGGAGAGTCTTGCTCAAGTGAGAAAGCAGAAAGATCAGTGAGGGTACCCTGCAAGGTCTCCTCTGGTGCAGAGCTGTCAGCGACTGGGAGGTGAGAGCGGGCCCGACCTTGGCCAGGCTGGAGCCCCAGCAGAGCCCTGGCAGAGCCCGGAGCAGCCTGAGCCTCGGCAGAGACAGGCTGGAAGGAGGCCCTTGGAGCGGCAAGAAGCAGCAGCCCGGCCCTGGGTGCCTCTTGCTGGGAGAGGGCAAATCCTCCACTCTCAGAGCCAAGCTGGCAGCTGGCTGCTCCTGAGGGGAAGCGTAGCCGTGCTGGGCACAGCACACACTGGTGCCATTGGCCATCTGGAGTCTGCACAGGAGGAGAGAAAGGCAAACAGCAGCTGAGGGCTGGTGCCCTGGCTGACCATTGCTGCTCTTCTGCCGGCTGCCCTGGAACTGCTGGCAATGGTCAGCAGTGTGTGCAGCACTCTGGCACAGGGGGAGGGAGCCGGGCTGCTCCGCAGGCTCCAGCACAGGGCAGTGTCCTTCAGGCACGGCATTTCTGCCACGGGAAGCGAGGCCAGCGTGAGGCAGTGACAGCAAGTCAGGTCAGATGTGCAGGAGCCAGTGCCTCTCACAGCTCTGGGACAAAGTGCCTGCAGTCCTGGAGCTCTGCACTGAGCCACAGCAAAGGTGTGAAATGCAGTGTGTTTTACAGAAATATTCAGGGGCACGAGGCCAGCCTGCTTTGTGCTTTCTGGAGCACAGCAAGCACTGTGCAATGCAGCTGGGAGCTGCTGGGAGAGAGAGTGAGGATGTGCCTGAGGCTTCTCCTTCAGTAGTGATTTGGAAGGGAGCAGAAGGGTCTCAGTAGGCAATTTGTGTTTTCTTCCTTCATTTCTGAATGAAAGACACAATGTGGCTTCATGCAGCAAGAGCACTTGCAGAACTTCTTGACTATAAGCTTGTGTTTGATTCCCAGAAAAGGAAGGAGAGGTGTTGGGAAAATGTTGACGTGTAAACAATAGGGCTTAATCTTGTGAATTCTGTTCATTTTAACAAACAGTGCTGAGGCCTGTATTCCTCCACTGCAGTGATTAATGTGTGCAAGTGACTATCTTAGCCTTGAGAATAAAGAGAGTGGTCCTGTTAAGAAGGTAGCTGGGAGGCATTCAAGAGAACAAAGTGGTTTTAGGAGTGTCTTGACATCCAGAGGAGAAGATGAGGAATGGGTGTTTCCAAAAGACTGTGTCAGGGACCGGAGTCAGGTTTGAGGCCCTGCCATATTTGATCCATGTTTGAGCAGGTCACCAAGACAATGAAGAAAACTGTATCATTTAAAGGGTGGGAACTTGACCCTTGCAAGAGAAACAATGGATTGGTCAATGGGTGGGCAGTTAACTTTTGAAAGAGGAACAGTGCATAATGGAGGCATTGTTGGCATGGAGTCGGTATTCTGAGCCATCGTGGTCTCATCTCACGTGCCGGCCATGTGGGAGCTGATGCTGTCAATGGGAAAATTGCACTCCTGAGCAGGAGATATAAGGCCTGGCTCTGGCTTGGAGGGGTGAGAAGGAGCAGACGGATTTGATGCTGGGGATGTCCTGAAATTGCACTGCCTACCTGCCCCTCCCACCGAGTACCATGCTTCATCTCCTTCTCCTGTTCAACAGGTTTCTGGGAATCCAGGGGTTGGTATGTATTATTTGCTACTGCAACTAATAGAATAAATGTGCTTTGCAACCCCAGTTGTGTCTTGACTTCTTTTCTACATGGGTCTCCTCCTGAAGCTATGACAATGACTACCAGAGAGCCTCAGGTCAACCCTACTCTCATGTCAATAAATTCTGAGAGGTGATTTAAATATGTCAAATAATCCGGGGAAAGGTTTAGTCTGTGAGTTTCAGCAAAGTATTGAATATGTCTTTGTTCCAAAAATACAAACTAGTAGGTGAGCTTGCTGGGAGTGCACCTTTTCAGGAAGGGATTCCCCACACACCCAGCACTGGAATAAAGTAATGCCTTCTTTCTAATCCTCAGCTGGCCGTGGGGATCAGGCCCTGCTTGGTAGGAAATCACTCTAATTTTTCTCTTGAAGCATTGAGAAATGTATGTTGAGGATTGATTTTAAGCACAAGGACTTCATATGCACAGAGGTTAAGTGTATTACAGGACAGTGGCATGACTGACATCTGTTCCCCCTTCTAATTTCCTTTTTGCCTATTTTATTCTTTTCCATGGATATTTTTGGCTGCTAAACTGAATCTGTTGAAAACAGGTTTTGTAAACAGGTTTTGTAAATCTATGTATAAGAGAAGCATAGGAGTACAGTAGCAGTAGAGCAGGGAAGCTGAGAAGCCAGGTCATAAATTCTTCATATCCTTCAGGATGCAAATATTTTCTGCAGCATTTGTTAGTTCACAATAGAAAGGGTAGGATTAAGAAGCATTGGAGTTACTGTTAATTTATGACATCAGAGAAAGCCTGTAGTTCTGTCACAACACTATGAGTAGATCTTTTTTTTCATTCCAGAGGAATGCCTATGCATCACTATGTTCTTTAGTGTCTCCAAATATCTAAAGAATGACATCATTTTCCCTCCTATTAAGTAGGAGAAGAAAGCCTGCTGCAACAATCTGCAGAACACCTTTGTTAGTGTGCTTGTATTGTATTTTTCCCCATCAAGAATAAAGAGAGGGAAATAGAGCATGTCTCTACGGTACTGATGGCCAGGGAAGAAAGGCAGAGGGGTCAACAGCCTTTCATGGGCTTTGAGCAAAAAACCTCACTAGCAGAAGTGACATTTTTGGGAAAAGTCTGTCTGGTAATCATAATCATTGTCCCCACAATACCTGGCAACAAAAATCTTCGATGTGCTGCTCATGGAGGAGGTGATGACCCTCCCAGATTTGCTAGTGCTGCCAGGGATATTGACTTTTGTGGTGGGACTTTGAGCTCAAACCTCCCCAGCGGGGACTCAGTTCAATTTTAGTTATCATTGTGTGCTCATAAGCTACACCCCAGGAGACAAACCTAGCTGTGGATGCTTTCTGAGACATAAGAGAAAACCCCAGAATTTTATGACTGGCATGATCCTTGCAGATGCTATTTAGCATTTTCTTGACCAAAAGAACTTGTCATGCTGCTGACCTGGGTGTACACTGTATGTGCTAATGCCAAAATGAACCCAGCCTTTACCTGAGCATAGGTGCTCTTCTAGAAGCAAAATCTAATGAAGGAACTCAATCCCTCATGATCACTCTTGTACTTTCAATTCTGCTTTTTCATCTGCCTTTGTAATTTGGTATGTAACTGGAGACTGTGGCATTTCTGCCACATCAAATGTACCTGGAAACTGCACTTGGGAGAAAAAGGTGGGAAAACAAATTGCTGGAGATGATTTTTTTTTTCTTTTAGTAAGGTATCAAAATTGTTATATTTTTCAATATAGTTTTATAGCTAAATTGTTCTTTTCAAATTCCATTCTAAAGTCATAGACATTTTTATTATTTTTTTGGTGATACTTTTCAGTGTAAGAGGTACTTTGGGGTGTGGACGGTCTGGGGCACGGCAGAGACATCTATAGTTGAGTTAGATGTTAGTTTATTTCAGGGCGTGGGCGATAGAGCCCTGCTAGGAGCCAGCAGATGAAGCTCAAAGCAGGCTCAGAGGGAACAAGACAAAAGGGGGTAAAAGATGAATACATGATTTCAAGACTTAAGATGGCTAAGAAAGAGAGTAAGAGAACAGAAGTGAGAGAGGTGGGAAAAGAGGGAAGCAAGAGAGTAGCAAGAGCAGAGAAAGAGAGCAGCAAGAGAGGCAAGAGAGACAAGAGAGTAGCAAGAGAGGCAAGAGAGCGAGCTCTCCTTTACAATTACTTCTATAACCTCTACATTTGAATATTCTATTCCTTTACTAACCAATCTTTGAAAGTATACTAATACAGTAACATTTGTGTGCGACCTATAGAAATCGCTGCTTTTGCATATTTTTAGTTATCTCAGGGG